AAAAACAAAACAAAAAAACCTTCAGTTTACAAGACACTAAAAACACATCACTGAAAATATTCGGACCAACAAAATCGAGCATGGTGTCAGGAGCCACAAAATCGAGCATGGTGTCAGGAGCCACAAAATCGAGCATGGTGTCAGGAGCCACAAAATCGAGCATGGTGTCAGGAGCCACAAAATCGAGCATGGTGTCAGGAGCCACAAAATCGAGCATGGTGTCAGGAGCCAAAAAATCGAGCATGGTGTCAGGAGCCAAAAAATCGAGCATGGTGTCAGGACCCACAAAATCGAGCATGGTGTCAGGAGCCACAAAATCGAGCATGGTGTCAGGAGCCACAACTGTCTCCAGTCTGGTACTGCGGACCCAAATCTCTGTCCTAATCCAGTCACATAACAGGACTTTCAGTATCGCTCTGATATAGAGAACATATCTGATGGCGATCCGTGTACAAGTGTGCTACATGCGTGCTGGTAACCAATACAAGTCCCCCCCCCCACCCCCACACACTTTGCTGCGATGCAGACCCGGGCAGTGAGGGACCATCTTTCAGTAGGATTGTTGCATTGTACATTTCACAAATCGCAGGCCGAAAATCCCTGTGAGGGTCTCCGTACAGCTGGGTCCCTATTAAGAGTCCCCCTTACTCTGCTCTCATCAGCTCTCATCAAAGGCCCTCCTCACATCGGGGGCCCCGCCAGGCGGCCCTCCTCACATCGGGGACCCCGCCAGGCGGCCCTCCTCACATCGGGGACCCCGCCAGGCGGCCCTCCTCACATCGGGGTCACCCCGCCACATCGGGGACCCCTGTCAGGCGGCCCTCCTCACATCGGGGACCCCGCCAGGCGGCCCTCCTCACATCGGGGTCCCCCTCCTCACATCGCCCCGTCAGGCGGCCCTCCTCACATCAGGGACCCCATCAGACGGCCCTCCTCACATCAGGGACCCCATCAGACGGCCCTCCTTACATCGGGGACCCTATCAGATGAAGTTTGAAGGGATGCAGGGGGTGCCAGGACATAGATCAGGGCCCCCCCGGGGTGGTCACAGCACCTCTCCTAAAGGCGTATGTCTCCTTTGCTGCATTAGGAAAGGGACAGGTTAGCTTTAGGCAGGTATTGCACAGCGGCTGACAGCCGGGGATTGGCTGAGCACACAGGAGGGAGGGTGCAGTCCTCTAAGATGAATCTCCTCTCCGCATGAACGGCTCTCAGCGGCCTATTTTTAGAATGTGATTTTTCATACAAGAACGGGAAGGTCTGGCAGCCGCCCAGATGCCGGGGACTCTCCTGCAGATCAAAGAGCGGAGATATGGAAGGAGCTGGCCAATGGAGCACATCACAGGCAGTAAAAGCAACTCACGTCCAGCAAGGCCAGTTCATTGCACCCCCATGTGTCTGGGGGAGAGGCAAGCGCTAATCCTAGAATAGAACGCCCATCTCCAGGATAATACCACCCCCCCCTTTACAACCCACTGCTAGAGCTTACAAATAAACACCAATCTACATGCCCTAAAATCTGGTCACATGACACTGCAGTCCCAAGCCTTCTCTCTATCATTTCACTTCCTGCGTGACAGACATTTCCTATTGGCTGTCCACCCAGGAACCAAAAGAGGAGGGACGCCGACAACAGAGGATGGGTAGTAGACCCGGATGGTGGGGGACCATCTCCTTCAGGGGTCTTACAACTTCAGTAGGATTGTTGCATTGTACAGTACAGAAATCGCAGGCCGAAAAACCTCATGAGGGTCTCCGTACAGCCGGGTCCCTATTAAGAGTCCCCCTTACTCTGACAGCTTTCATCAAACTCCCTCCTTACATCAGGGACCCCCATGACACATCTCTCCTTACATCAGGGACCCCATGGCACATCCCTCCTTACATCAGGGTCCCCATGGCACATCCCTCCTTACATCAGGGACCCCATGACACGTCCCTCCTTACATCAGGGACCCCCATGACACATCCCTCCTTACATCAGGGTCCCCATTAGAGCACCCACATCTGGGACCCCCATAGTGTCCCCCATCCTTACATCAGGGTCCCCCCATCAGATATGACATCCCTTCTCACATCTGGGACCCCCATCAGATAGCCCTTCTCACATCTGGGACCCCCATCAGATAGCCCTTCTCACATCTGGGACCCCCATCAGATAGCCCTTCTCACATCTGGGACCCCCATCAGATAGCCCTTCTCACATCTGGGACCCCCCTTCTCAGATAGCCCTTCTCACATCTGGGGACCCCATCAGATAGCATATCCCCTTCTCACATCTGGGACCCCCATGGCATATCCCTTCTCACATCTGGGACATCAGGGTCCCCATGGCATATCACATCTCCCTTCTCACATCAGGGACCCCATCATAGCCCTCCTCTCACATCTGGTCCCCATCAGATAGCCCTTCCTTACATCAGGGTCCCCGTGGCATATATCCCTCCTTACATCAGGGTCCCCGTGGCATATCCCTCCTTACATCAGGGTCCCCCATTAGAACATTACATATTGTCCCTCCTTACATCAGGGTCCCCATCATATCCCTCCTTACATCAGGGTCCCCCATTGATATCCCTCCTTACATCATGGTCCCCATTATTATTGTCCCTCCTTACATCAGGTCCCCATTACATTAATTGTCCCTCCTTACATCAGGGTCCCCATCAGATATCCCATCCTTACATCAGTTACCCCCATCTGATATCCCTCCTTACATCAGTCCCCATCAGATATCCCTCCTTACATCAGGGTGACCCCATCTGATATCCCTCCTTACATCAGGGTCCCCATCAGATATCCCTCCTTACATCAGTTCCCCATTACATTAGTGTCCCTCCGTACATCAGGTTCCCCATCATAGGCAGAGCCCATAGGCAGCCTCTGCTGACCTTAATCCTCAATCAGTGCACTTTCAGGATACACCACTGGCCAATGCAGGCTAGATGTGGGCAGTTTGGGGACCCCCGACTTACATCACTCTATTAGAAGTCCCCTGCACTGGGAAATGGCTGAAGGGAGTCTTGGGTGGGGAGGACGGGGGGGGATGGGGGACCTAAATAAGTATATCTTGATTCAGTAAGACAAACACAGCCTTGCAGTAGGGGTCAGAGGGTAGGTGGTGGAGCTCTTTTTGCCCAGAATGGGGCTTTAGAAATACACATTTGGTCAAATCAATCAAGTCCTCAGAGCTGCGATTAAACAAGAGTTGAACCTCTGTTGGGAAGAAAACAGAACGAGGAATGGAACATTACAGCAATGCCCCACATACACAGCCATATGAAGAGCAACCCCAGCCTGGAGCACGTCACATCTTTCACCGGCAGCAGACGGCAGGGCCATGTGACGGCCCAAAACGTAAAAACAAGCAAACTGGCTCTGCCAAGATCAGCAACATTTCACTGGCTGGAAAACGGTCTCGGCAACACCAAACAACCCGTGCTTTCCGTATACCGAACAAGCCGACATCCAGCCTGGTATGCCACACCCGGGGCCCGACTACCTGACAAGGTGCTTTCCGTATACCGAACAAGCCGACATCCAGCCTGGTATGCCACACCCGGGGCCCGACTACCTGACAAGGTGCTTTCCGTATACCGAACAAGCCGACATCCAGCCTGGTATGCCACACCCGGGGCCCGACTACCTGACAAGGTGCTTTCCGTATACCGAACAACCCGACATCCAGCCTGGTATGCCACACCCGGGGCCCGACTACCTGACAAGGTGCTTTCCGTATACCGAACAACCCGACATCCACCTGGTATGCCACACCCGGGGCCCGACTAACCTGACAAGGTGCTTTCCGTATACCGAACAAGCCGACATCCAGCCTGGTATGCCACACCCGGGGCCCGACTACCTGACAAGGTGCTTTCCGTATACCGAACAAGCCGACATCCAGCCTGGTATGCCACACCCGGGGCCCGACTACCTGACAAGGTGCTTTCCGTATACCGAACAACCCGACATCCAGCCTGGTATGCCACACCCGGGGCCCGACTACCTGACAAGGTGCTTTCCGTATACCGAACAACCCGACATCCAGCCTGGTATGCCACACCCGGGGCCCGACTACCTGACAAGGTGCTTTCCGTATACCGAACAAGCCGACATCCAGCCTGGTATGCCACACCCGGGGCCCGACTACCTGACAAGGTGCTTTCCGTATACCGAACAAGCCGACATCCAGCCTGGTATGCCACACCCGGGGCCCGACTACCTGACAAGGTGCTTTCCGTATACCGGGAGGAACAAGCCGACATCCAGCCTGGTATGCCACACCCGGGGCCCGACTACCTGACAAGGTGCTTTCCGTATACCGAACAAGCCGACATCCAGCCTGGTATGCTACACTCGGGGCCCGACTACCTGACAAGGTACGCCACCCCGCCAGATCGTTGTCACCTCTCAGCTGAAGGTTTACTACAAGGGCCACCCCCACCCCCCACCCCCCCCACACCACCCCCCCCCACCCCCCCCCCCACCCCACCCCCCCCCACCCACCCCCACACACCACACACACCCACCCCACCCCCCCCCCCCCCCCCCCCACCACGCACCACCACCCCCCACCCCCCCCCCCCCCCCCCCCCCCACCACCCCCCCCCCCCCCCCCCCCCCCCCCACACACACCCACCCCCCCCACCACAATGGCTCCTGAGGATTTCAATCACCGGGTCCCGGCCAAGACTGATCATGGGTGAAGCTGAGACATGGAAGCTGAGTGTAAACAACGCAGGTCTCTCTATCCAGCATGGATGTGCTGCTTTCTCTCTGCATAAAAAAATCTTTCCCCAGTAATTACAGACCTGTTAGTGTAACTTCTACAGTTGGGAAGATATTGGAGAGTTTAATAAAAGACAGAGAGGAGTTCTTGCTGGAAACAAATATTGTAACAGACAGACAGCATGGAGTCATGAAAGACAGAAGTTGTCACACAAATCTGATTTCTTTTTATAAGGAGGTGAGCAAAACATTGGACAGAGGGGTGGTGGTAC